CACGAATGCTTGTTTGCTGTAACGCGATTTTTGCTTACTATTTCTCCAATTTTGTGGTATTAACTGTGAATATGGTAAAGAAGAATATCTCAAAGAAGCGTTCTGTTGATCGCATTCCCGGTGATGATCGTAAAAGAGAGGCTATAACACTTGAAGAGAAGCTCGATGTTATCAACCTCAAAATCACCCTTCTCCCCCATCAAGTTATATTCATATTTCTTCATGGTAAAGTGTTATATTTACTGTATGATTTCATTATTAGATATGAATGTAACATTTATTTAGACTGTGCTAACCTTTGTGTTAGGCTAACTACTAAATTTTTTTCGATTTCGAGTAGTAATCTGCACCTAACCCTATTTTCTCCATAAGCCCTGTTATTTCTATTACGCGAATTTCTATAACACGATGTTTTACAAGAACACAACTATCGCGTTATAGCAGAACTGACTGTAATAGAAACACAGACATTTGTAAAACATTCACAACAAATGTATTTATAACATATACTGTATGTAGGAATAAAACACAAATTACAGGTCATTTTGAAATTTTGTCTGTTCTGTTCACGACAGTATTACCATATATTTTGTCTCAAACACAAACCCTAGGTGTATACTTATTCTTGTGGCCGACTGTACTTATACAGTACTGTGACTTCACCCCCCACACTGACTTTCCACATAATTCTAATATAAATTAGTATTCCTTATGTAACAGTACTTTAAAGCAATTCATATTATATTTACAGTTCATATTAGAGTGCAGTACAGTAATGTACTAGAATATTTAATATTTGGAAGATTAGATTAAATGAGCATTCTTTTTAGACACCGATACACCTACATAAGCAAATTAAGTTCAACTATACAGTATTGTACAGTACTGTACAGAGAAAATAATTTTGTTTTCGGACATTTCACTTAAACACACACTTTCTAAGTTTTAATTTTGAGTGCTATATGAAGACTTGCTGCACAAGAGTACAGTAGCATACACTGTACAATATCTACATGAAATTAACAAATACAGGGGACAGTGTAACACTTCTCTTATCATGGTCAGAGGAAGCCTAATTACCGGTCACTAACATGTTTATGTGAACGACTAATTAGTAAGATAGTCTTACTAGAAAAAAAAGGCTCCAGGAACAGTACCTACGTATAATACAGTAAAGTACGAGTGGTTTTAGCAGACATCTTGCTTCCATCACCATTTAAGCAGGCCTCATAATATTATTAAAAAGCAGTGGCTAAATTACTGGTCACAGCAAAATAGCCTGACAGGCTGTTTTGGGCTATTTTGCCAGGGCATAACGTATGTAATACAGTATAAGTAACGATATAATAATATTAAAAGGGTGTTACTACAGCGTGCAATCTGCAAAGTTATCTTTAGTCTAACCTAACCTAATTACAGTATTCTGCATATCTTATAGAACGCAGGCTATAGTACCCAACATTTATTAAGATTATCAACCGCATATTACTAATTAAGTTATCCTTATACAGTATCTCAGTTCTAGGTCGTTTGTGAGGGAAATGTCATAGAAGTGCTTTAAAATTGTCTAAACTAATGATTGCAAAGTTAAAATTCCCGAGATTAGGTTGGTGGCAACAAATTCAATATTACTGTCCTGTAATACCTTTTTTATTAGTTTTCTGATTTTCAACTCAAAATATCTCAGGGGTACAATGAGCTAAAAGTGTCATAAAAGAAAATTGCCTCGCTTGTGTATGAAGTTATTATCAACAAGATAAAATATATATGCAATTATGTCCTCTACAGTACAGGTACTCCTCGACGTACGACATACTCGACTGCCACAACCCGGACATACGACCACCATGGTCGTACAAAATATTTTTCAAAGTACGTATTTTCTAGTACCGAAACGTTTCGGTCCCGTACGACAGCATGGGCTGGGCCGCCTCGTGGTGTACAGCATCCACGCCGTAGCCCGCTCAGTTGGAGTTTGGCCGTCGTTGTTGTCATTAGTGGTCGCGCTGTGTACTGACAAAATTTTAGTTTCTAATTCCCTTTAAAATGACTGGCAAGCGTAAAAGTGAGAGTTCTCATGGTGCTGAGAAGAAAAAGAGGCAGTCAATTACTTTTGAGATGAAAATGAAAATAATGCAATATGAAAATGGAAAAACGGTATCAACCGTTTCACGTGACCTTGGCTTCTCTTACATAACGATATCAACAATTTTGAAGGACAAGGAAGGAATTCGTGAGGTAGTCTCCAGGTTTAATTAAAAAATTATTGAGGCCCCGTGTGCATTCAGCTGACTACATAAAAGGTAAGTTCACAGTAACACTTTATTAATTTTTCATTATTGATTACTTTTACTGTACTGTATTTTATTTTAGAATTTCTATGTACTATTTTTCGCTTTCGACTTACAACCTGGTCGTCAGAATGAAACCACGTCGTAAGTCGAGGAGAGACTGTACTATAAATTGACCCACAGCTCAGCCTCACCTGCTCTGAGTTCCATTGGGTGGTGAGTTGGCAACACAATTACTATACATGCCATCTCCATGGACATTTTTCCTCATTATCCCTCGGTTAGGATAATGAATAAGTCTAAATAAAATTTTGTATATAAATATCATGTCATATTTTTTCTTTGTACAATATAATAAATGGTACTACTATAGCGTGCAGTCTACAAGATATTTAAGTTAAGTTAGGTTAGGTTAGATCAGATTAGGTTATGTTAGGTTAGGTTCGACTAAAGATATCTTTGTAGAGTGCATGCTATAGCAGCACTCAGTAAATAATATTATATCATGACTGTACTTGTATTACATACACAATGGACCGGTAGAATAACCCCAAACAGCCTGTCAGGCTATTTTGGCGTGACTGGTAATGTAGTCTATTTGTTTTTAAAACGGATACAAAATATTGAGGTTCACCATAACCAAATCCTTTGTTTATATTAATGGCCACCAAAATCATTTTAGTAATAAAAGTTTAACACCACAGGAACTAATTTTCTCACCAAATCCTGAAACATCACTACAATATACTGTATACAGTATACACTTATCTTTAAGTTATTATTCCTACATTGTACGCATCAAAGACTGTTACTTGCTGTCAAATATTTTCCTGGTGGTCCAATACTAGTAGGATAACATATCACAGAGTAGTGCACAAATTATACACTGACATATATATGACACTAAGGAACCAATGACCCTGAATGAATGAATAAATCCACCAGCAACTGAAATGATTGTACATTGTATACATAATGTAAATTTCCAGTCAGTTTATATAAAACAATGATATACACTACTGTATATTGTTACCATCACCATAAAATGTAGCTCTCATACGATTATATCCACTGTTTTATAAATATATGTACAGTATATACTGTATGGTTTGGGACCCCTGTAGATTTCTGTACGGTAAATGTTCAAAACCCGATTTACACAACTGCCTTCTTCAATGGAAATGGATGGTTTGGTTAGTTAGGTTATTTTAGTGGTGAATTAGTCAAGCCAGATTTCCAAAACATGCAATCATGGAATTGTAACTTAGGGTAGCTATATACTACTGTATAAACATTCCCTAATACCTGTACAATTAAAAGACTGGTAAATATCACTCATTTTTGGGAAGAGATTCCTTCCCCACTTCCATGATCTAGGAGTGTAGCTAACTGTCCAAAGAATTTGGAAAATTTTCTTGCCTGCTAAGCTTAATGCACTGACAGATTTGTATATACAACAGGAGGGTCAATAACGTCACCAGGAGTACCTGTAGCATTATCTTTGATCTTATGATAAGGAACTCCTGTTTATTTCACCTCATGATTAAACACCCTAATGCCAAACAGAAGGTTAGGTTAGATTTGGTTATGTTAGCATTCGGCAGCAATGGCTCCTAATCTTTATAAGATCCAAAAAACAGCTGTGAAGTTTCCAATTTCAAGAATAGTAATTTTGATATTAACAGGAATGGACCAATGAACACTGCCAAACTTTGTCCACACCTGCTAAATTCAGAGAGTTTAGTGACTTAAATTTGCCAAAGGCATGGAGAGCCTGTGGGGCTAAGGGTTCATCAGTTAAATTTTTCAAAAAGCCACTTTTAAAGGACTTCCATAATATAATCATTTAAAAAAAGAAAAAAAAACAATTGTCAAATTTGTCCCAAATTCTAGCAAAATAATCACACAAAATAGATAATTGGACTAGTAATTGGTTATTTAAATTGGACATTCATACAGATATGGTCTCGTCTAAATACAATCTTTAAAATGTAACCGGTAAATTCTAAGGGTAAAACCCAAAGTTAAAATGGGAGTGGGCTAACCCTCCCTTTCTTCCAAAGACCTTCTGTATTAGTAAAATAAATAGTGAAGAAAACTATAACAGGCAGCGGTTTCATGGAGATCATGTTCTGTGTTATATATGCCACGTCCATCAATAAAAGAGATGAACTAAGCTTTAAGAAATGGGTAATTAAACTTTCTATGATTCTCTTAAATCCCCAACGTAATCATTATTACTGAGACTTGGCTTCAATAATTAACCCTACCTTGGATGCACCAGGTAATGCTCTATACACAATGTCATTGCCACAATACCGCACAGAGTACTTAAGAGTTTCCTTAAACAAAATCAGTTCACTAGAGGGACGGGACACTACACAGCAAGTCCCAGTTCTCGAGAGTCAAGTTGACCACTCGATGATGACCCACTCCTAAGATTTCGCTTCTCACAAAATGAAATTTCTAGTGAAATATAAGACTTGGTAAACGTCCTCAGTACGACAACAATTTATCACTACTTCATAATGACCTTGTAACGCCGTACTTATACATATTTGTGACTAAACACTCAAAAATAGGTAAGGAAGACACAAAGTTCACCTAACGGCACCATCACATTCACTGCAATATATCTCTTATGATAGGTTTACAGATCTTTAGATCAATCCATATGCTTTAAAAATTATTAACATCGCTTCTGCTTACCAGAAAAGTAAGTCAACACGGTATTTAATCCAAGTTCATTGAGAAGGTGGGTGGGGAAGTTCGCGGACACAAGTGTAAACAAACAGCAATATGGCGACTAACTGACAGGGCGAGACTGCCAGCCACACCGCCGAGCAACCTTAGCTGGAGCGTCTCAACTCACTCTCTCTACTTCCGTCACCCAGGACCCACTCTCATGGCCTGAGATAGTCGATTGGCACATTTATAATAAGAACTCCAAATAACCATCGTGATTATATCCCAGTTAACTAATGTCACACATAAAGTGAATAAACGGTTTTGTATTAGCCATTTATACAAGACCGTTAGATATTCCGTTTATTGTTCCACCCGAACGGCTCGGGTCAGACTCTCAATGGGGTCAACCAACTGCAGTCAGATGACCGGTTTACGGAAATATTCACCTTTATCGTTTTATCATATCTTGTGTAATTCTTTGTTTGCTTGTGACTTAAGTTTCTATAAATGTATATAGTGCTCTATCTACTTTAGTTTATTAATTGTATCATCTCATAGGGAAAAAATCACTTCAATACTTCACTGATATTAATACTGTACAGCATATGCTTTGATAAATCAAAGTCTAATGAAAATTAATTTCTTTAACACGCAGGTATAGCAACCGCAATTATTTTACCCCTAACCCTTCTACCCTGAGCTAAGCGCAGTATGAAGCGTACCCCTACCCTTCCCAATAATTCTTAACTTTATTTGAAATTTAACCACGTACAGCACGATACGTCTCTGAGGCGAATTTTGGGTTTGTGCACTTCCCACGCCAAGTTTCCCGCCATAATTTAATTTCCCCATCAGAAGATTTTTTCCAAAACTAATTTTTCACCTCAAGGCTCCATAATGCCTCCAAATTAATAAAGGCCCCCATAGACCCAAGGATTACCAGCTTAATCTCATGCTTAGGCCTTTAACTTTAAGTACTGTGTCTGTGCTTTGCAGTTCCCCTCCCCCCACCGGCCCCACGCAAAATTCTGGTTTTCCTATTACCAATCACTGACAACGAAAATAATTATAATAACAACAACAATAATAATAATAATAATAATAATAATAATAATAATAATAATAATAATAATAATAATAATAATAATAATTTTCCATTAAATAAATTGTCCCTTAATAATCTTCGATCACCGTCTTGGGGTCTAACCGTATAACGATGTTAGAGGAAGGGATGTTCATAGTTAGGCCTGGTGGCTCCTTAGAGGGAGATAGTGTTGATATAACACACTGTAGACAGGCCTTTTCTTAACACACATGGGAGGCAGCGTTAACCGGCATTGCATTCGACAGCTTCACTTCCCCAATTATGAAGTTAGAAGCCAATTTACAGTTGGGGGCGGGGGGTACCTTAGATGAGAACCAACGACCCTAAGGGTAGGAAGCGAGCACTACATCCACGCGTTTAATTGTATAACGAGCGATATCAGTATAGTCACCCACATCACCTTCATTTGAAGAGATCCACCATCCAACTGGATTAAAATTTTATGTTGAATAAAGAAATTACGAGTAACTTTTGATGGCAAATGTTGTAGTAGTGGTGAAGGCGGGATAAATAACCTCACCGAAGCAATGAGTCATAAGGTGACGTGTTTTGCCTCTATATCAGCTTTACATAACCCTGAACGTATTAGAACACTAATTTTTGATGTGTTGGCTTTTTGCTTTCTTAAAACATTGTAAACAATATAATAGTCATTCTTGTTAAAATTTCTTAGACCCTAAAAATTGCAGGTAAGAGAGAAAGTGATGGTGATGTTATTTTACACTACTGAGCTTTAACAACTAAGGTCTTTAAGCGCGTAACTATATTAGTAATTAATTACATTAAGTCATCAACATTGAAGGACTAAAATAGGTGTGATTCACTGCGTTCTCTAGCTGTGGTTTTAAACACCGGTGTAAAAATCATAACTTTGATGGCAGACATTTTAGTTTACCCATTACAACTCGTTCCTAAGTGTGTCCGATAGCTCAGTAGTTAATGCAGAGTACGACATTTTAAAGTGGCGGTATCATAACTTTTCGGATCTTCTCAACATAACTTGGAACGATATATGAGATTCCATATACGCTGATTAGAACTGGAAAGCTCGTCGGTGTTGTCGATTCTGGTATGACTTCAATATACCACAACAGGAAACAATGAAGATCTTTGATATTTAGATTTATAACATAGGCTCATAAATGTCTGATTTTTTTTATGAATCAAGACAGTTCGAGTTTCTGGGCAAACAAGCCTACCACACGACACCAAATTTCGTCTCTTGTTGCTAAAAGGCCAGACAAGCAGGTTTTTCTTGAGCTACAAAACACTTCTCCGCTCATGACTGCATTATGTGTTGTACCACGTCTTATAGATATTGGTTCTAAAAAGCCTCATAAAGACTATTTAGACTTTCGTGGTAACAGTTTTCGACGGATGACTGGATTACCTTTGGCTGAAACGGTTCCGTGCGCTCCAGGAAAGATCCCCGGGGTAAATTTTCTACCGGAATCTGAGGTCTTTGTGGTAGCCGGTCTTGGGTCAACATTTGGTTTGTGCAAGGAAAAATGTCGTTACTCTGAAGACGAGGATGTGATGATGCCTGCTGGTGGGTTGTGGAGTTGGATGCCGGGTGTGTGGGTTGAGAGTCACGGCGGCAGCAGAAGCAGATAAAACCACCAGTAAGTCGATGAAAGTACACACAGAGGTACAGCACCATCATGAGTACCACCGCCGTCACCAAGGGCAACACTATATACAAGATATAATATCCACCATCATTCCCCTTCCCGGGTTCGTTGGTACTGGTACTCAGTATTGGTTCGTTGGTACTGGTACTCGGTATTGTAAGATTAGCACATAGTCCTTCTTTTCTGGTGTCTGAAATGAACAAACACATTACTCACACGAATACTAAGACGAAGACAAGGTGGCTAAGTCTGTCAGGCAGACGTCTAAAAGAAGCATGACTGAAAGAAAGACAGAAAAACTATAAAACAATAATTATATCAGCAGAATAGCTGATATATGTGAGAGAAAGTCACGGCAACAAACTAACATCCTGATATATGAAAAGGCACTAAAAGTTGTCTAGAAGTATCAAGCTGTTGTATATTACAAGAGGGTGAGCTTATATTTACACATACAGCCTTCAGTCTTCTACCTTTGACCTATGACCCAGCCCAAGCAAACCAAGAATACTTATATATATATATATACTGAATATGAAATCTTGATGGAATGACTCAAAGTGCTTCTCAGAAATTCTCCGAGTGGATGGTCAACAGGAATTTCGCTTCACCTTTAACTGGCTGCGACAAAAATTGTTTCCATCGAAGGCCATGAGAAACCAGTCTGAGTTCAGTTCACTACTATACAATATACAGGTATACAATAATCAAATATATAACATTACAATTTTCACCACATATTGACCAACATGTCATTAAACACTATTAACATACCATTACATGGACAGGAGTAAGCCTCAATGTTGTCCGCAGATTGGAGAGTCAATTTAACGCTCTGCTTCAGAGACTTAACACTGAGGCGACTTGGGCAAGAATAGGGTTCCAAATTTTGTAACCTTGACTGGGACCCAACTTTTAATCGTCTGTCTTTCAGCGTCACATCCAAGTAAATTTCCAGGGTCGAGGAATTTGTTGGCCAAGGATAGGAGAAGGTACAGTCGTTGTTGATCACGAGGTTCTTGAAGGTGTTTGAGTCACCATGTAAGTGTATTTCAGCTTTTTCTTCGTCCATTTTCACCTGCAGATGAAGGTCCCATCTACCTGCTGGTAACTTGAGTCTTATTGTTGTTATATAAAGCTTTTTGTTAGTGTCGTACAGCATCTCCACGGGTGAAAACGCTTGTGCAGATCTCATCTCGCAGGCTACAAAATAGGTAAAAGAAAATAATGGATATGTTATTCCCATTTTATGGACAAATTCACATCACATTAATATCTCAAACTCACCCTCAATGTCCATGTCCCTCTGTGAGTTGTTCTTGTAATGTCAAAACTTTAGATTATCTTTTGTGTTTGTCTTCAGGTGAGACTAAATCAGGTTACTCCTACCATGAATATGTTACATATATAGAAAGTCTCCACATGCTCAGTTTATCCTACAGAAGGGCACGGGGCGATGCGATAAAAGTTTCTAAACACCTCAAGGACATTACTCAGTCATATTCACGTTCACAAATTAAAGACTCAGTACAGAAAACTGTCAGGTGTAACTTTTTTGGAGTAAGAGTTATGAAATAACTTGCCAGAGTATGTTGTAACAGCACCGAGTGTGAGCTTTTCAAGTCCAGACTTGACCAACACTGGGTCAAGTTCAGGCATATTCAAGAGAAGTGACCGACACCCGACCGGCCAGTGAAGAAGAGGGTAAAGAAAGAAAAAAGTGTTAATCAAAAGTTCTCCGTCAGCTCGGTCATGACTCAAAACAGTCACTACAATACTGAAAAATTATGTACTTGTCACTGTAAATTATCCGCATTGTTTATTATAATATATAATTCATAAAGTGTTATTGTTAGCTGTGCCAGCAGCTCTAAAAACCAATCCTCATTAACTACTGACTCAGTCACCTTCAGTGGGAAATTCTGACCGTTTCGGTTTTGAAACGCGCGCAAGCGCGCGCGCGAGCGTGTGTGTGTGTGTGTGTGTGTGTGTGTGTGTGTGTGTGTGTGTGCGTGTGTGTGTGTGTGTGTGTGTTAAGATAAAAGCAGACATTTAGTTTCCTTACTTCTGGCTTCACACAAGAAACTATCCATCATCAGAGCAACTAAACGGAAAAACAGCATTACACTCCCCACACATTTATCGAAATCCTGAGATAAATTCGAGTGCTGAGACGTTGTATTGTCATTATAAATGTAGAAAAAGTAATGGCGGAATGCGTCACTTAATGTTCAATCCTTAAAGTACATTAACCGCTAAAAATAACAGCAACAATAATAAGGAAAATTAAAAGCGTAATGTTGAATATCGACACAAGTATGATTATGACCCACTGTACTGTAGACAACAGAACCTTCACTGTCTTCTGTTTTGGTGCATTGGTTCCTGTTTTTGTCAAGCGTAGTCCAGTCAGCACAGCTCACAGTGCCCTGCTACTGACTGGTAATTTTGGCAAATTTGATGCATGAGGTGGCGTGCATCGATAGGTCAAGGCCAGATTACGGTTTCTGATTATTAAATACGGCAGCTGGGAGGGTTATTTTATTATCCAAAATTATCATTTTTTGTGTTCACAAGTCTCTTTTCAGAGTTTCCCATACATTTTGTAAACATGGATCACTGTCGGTTATCACTCACGCTTGTAACAGATAACACTGGTGGACTAGAGTTCGTGTGAAAATACTCAAGTCAGGATCTAGTATACTGACTAGAGATATTTTGAGTCTTTCTCCTATAAGTGACTGAAACAGATAAATGTTGTTAAATTTTATGGAGTTATTGTCAATGTTGGTGAATATTATACCTGTCATTTTTTTCTTTGGTTGCGTTGGTGCAGCCCAGCTGTCACCTTTCCTGACCCGAGTAAAAACTATTTCAGTGTACAAGAAATTCTTTTCACTTGAGTTTTAACATCATAAATAATTCTTTACCCAAACTTGTTTTTCGCTGCACTGAGCTCATCATTGTGTTTAGGGGTTCATAGAATCGAAGATGAAAAGTGATTGCTCACCTGAAATGTCCACAGGAGTTACATTGCCTACATATACTTTGTTGATTGTAAGTTTAGATTCGGATAAAGAGGTCCTGTAGCCAAATATTTCATCGGGAAGAAGAAAGGTTTTGCTCTAATGAACGTGTTTTTATACTGTGCCAAGAGCCTAGTGTCCTGCATAATGGTTAATGTCCTGAATGATGGTTTAATATCCCGTAAAAAGAGCCTTGTCACTAGTGTTCTGCATAACGGTTTCGTGTCCTGGCTGGTGGTTTAGTGTCCCGTAAAGAGAGCCTTGTGTCCTGAATGGTGATGTAATGTCCCGTAAAGAAAGCCTAGTGTCCTGAATGACAGTTTAGTGTTCCGTAAAAAGAAGCCTTGTGTCCTGAATGGTGGTTTAGTGTCCCATAAAGAAAGCCTTGTGTCCTGGCTGGTGGTTTAGTGTCCCATAAAGAAAGCCTTGTGTCCTGGTTGGTGGTTTAGTGTCCCATAAAGAAAGCCTTGTGTCCTGGCTGGTGGTTTAGTGTCCCGTAAAGAAAGCTTAGTGCCCTAAATGGTGGTTTAGTGTCCCATAAAGAAAGCCTAGTGTCCTGGTTGGTGGTTCAGTGTCCTGTAAAGAAAGCCTAGTGTCCTGGTTGGTGGTTTAGTGTCCTATATCAATGAACAAATACTATCTCTTAGTTACTTGGGAGGGAGAGTGTTGACGCACAGCCGGTGTAGCACCACAATATCAACCAGACTTGCAATAACAGGAGCCAGGGAAGAGGGCCGTGCCCCTCCATCCTGTGTGGAGACTTCCGCGGCACTGAAGAACAGCATTAATCTATATTTTAGCAGGATGTTGTTGAAAAGATCCAACCGCTGATGTCACGTGGAAATTATCTTACTGTTATGAAGCAGAGATTTTTTTATTACTGAATGGCAGTTACCTTACAGTTTTGAGCCACCGTCACGGGATATTTGGTTTGGAGTTCAAGGAGGAACAGGAAGAACAGGTTCTGGCCGATACTTTATCACCAGCAAAATAATGTTGTGTTGTTTCCATCAGCTGAATAATAATAAACATTACACAGGACGACACAAACATGTACTAACTTCCTCTTGACGACCGAGTTCGTAAATGGCGTCTCTCAGTTAAATTTCTCTTCTTACATTACACTGGTCTAAAAAATTTTTTTTTTCTGGCATGAAACCTTTTAACTGTTTTTTACTAACTTTAAGGTGCTGAATCCAAATCTGATCTCAGATTTGCTCCATCACGTAACGTGCCAGAATTTACTGAGCTACCAGAGATTGAGGATATAGACCGGAATTCACCTGTTTCTACTGATGAAGATGAAAAGACTGATCTTTTCAAGCCATCTGGTGAAGATTGTGAAAAGCCAACGTTGTTTACTCAGTCAGAATTGAATGATCTGGTCAGAGATCTAAATTTGCCAAAACAGTCTGCTGAATTGTTAGCTTCCAGGCTTCAAGAGAAACGACTCTTAAAACCTGGCACGAGTGTCTCCTTTTATCGCAACAGAGAAGAGCAACTGCGGAAGTACTTTCATTCATATGACCAGCTTGTTTTTTGTAATGATGTAGAAGGACTTCTTCTCTCCATGGGACTACCAGCATATGATAGTAAGGATTGGAGACTTTTTATTGACAGTTCTAAAAGGAGCTTGAAATGTGTTCTTCTTCATAACGGAAACAAGTATGGTTCAATTCCAATCGGACATTCTGTACAAATTAAAGAAGAGTATGAAAACATTAAGACTGTTCTAGAGAGGTTGCAATACCATGCTCATGAATGGTTAATTTGTGTGGACTTGAAAATGGTAAACTTTCTATTGGGCCAGCAAGGAGGGTACACAAAATACCCCTGTTTTCTGTGCTACTGGGACAGCAGGGCTACAGCAGACCATTGGGTGAAAAAGAATTGGCCACCAAGACATAGTTTGACGCCTGGTGACAAGAATATCATTAACGATCCTCTGGTTGACAGGAAAAACATTGTCCTTCCTCCTCTGCACATAAAACTTGGTATCATGAAGCAATTCGTCAAGGCTCTTGATCATAGTGGAGAGTGTTTCAGATATATATGCTCAACCTTTCCAAGTCTTAGCGACGAGAAGAAAAAGGCAGGGATTTTTGATGGACCTCAAATAAGAACACTACTCAGAGATCCACACTTCCTTGCAACAATGACTGAGGCACAGGCAAGAACTTGGAATGCTTTCTCTAATGTGGTGCGGAACTTCTTAGGGAACAAGAAAGCGGACAACTATCAAGAAATTGTGGAAGAGCTGCTCTTGAGTTTACAAGCACTTGGATGCAGAATGAGTATCAAGGTTCACTACTTGCGCAGTCACTTGGACTAGTTTCCAGAAAATCTGGGAGAAGTGAGCGAGGAGCAAGGGGAGCGCTTTCATCAAGACATTAAAGTAATGGAAGAACGTTACCAAGGTCGATGGGACTCGAACATGATGGCGGACTACTGCTGGAGTTTGATGAGAGACATTCCAGAAGCTGTATATAAGAGATCGGCCAAAAAGAGGAAGTTTATGTAACTGTAACTTGATCTTAATACTTGCACTATTTCTATCGTACAATAATTGTTTTTTTTCACCCTTCAATGTTACATTTAAATATTATATGTGCATTAACTTTCCAATTTGATATTAACAATTTTTGGTTTCTGTTGGTCTTTTTTCTTAGTTTTCGTTATTCTTGTGTTCTCTTTATCTGATGTCTTAATTCTCTGTTCATCTTTTTCTTCCTTGTGTTTCTTCTATTGAATAGTTTCTTTTCAATCCATTTTAACTATTTCTTCATCCTTGTGTTTAGCCTCTTATTTACCTTCCCCTCCCCCTAGACCTCCTCCCCCTCTCCCTAGACCTCCTCCCCCTCCCCCTAGACCTCCTCCTCTCCCTAGACCTCCTCTCCCTAGACCTCCTCCTCCCCTCCCTAGACCTCCTCCTCCTCCCTAGACCTCCTCCTCCCCTAGACCTCCTCCTCCCCCTCCCCTAGACCTCCTCCTCCTCATCCTCCCTCCCTCCTCCTATGTGAAATATTGGCACACTTTCCAGATATTAATAATTTAATTCAATTCGATATCCTTAAACCAATCAGATATTTACTGTGAGAGAATTATTACGTATGCGAGAATTAACTTATAAGAAACATTATTATTCGTTTTACAGTCTTATGGTAAGCATGT